GGCAAAACGATTTGTTTGTCGGCCAACAAATGATCAAAAATTTGTTCTGTTTTGGCCAGATCAAACGTATAAACCTTACCAGTATCAGCCGTACCCTTCCTGGCCGATGAAGTCGATGGCTGAGTACCACTGGTGGATACATTTGGTTTTGTTAAAGCGTCACATACATAAGGCTTCTTTAAAATGACTTCGGCTAAATTAGCTTCAAAATCTTCCTCTTCAACCACATCAGTTGAATAAACTTCATAGTTGAATAAACTTCGTTCTTTCTCCTCTTTGAGAACCAACTCATACCTGGTAGCTTTCTCGGCCAGGTCATACATATCACGAAATGGAACTCCTTCAAACCTCTTCCGAAGTTCAAAATCAAGGCCGTTCAAAGCCAAACGAATGTACTCCTGTTCTGGAAGAGGTACACGACATCTTAATCTTGCTCTCCTGAATCTTGTAATGAATGTCTCGACCGATTCACTAGGCAATTGACTTAGCCTGGATAAATCGGCCAGAGTAGGTTCTGTCTCCGTACGGTAGAACTGATTGTGGAATAATTCCTCCATCTGTGGCCAATTAAAAACAGAGTTAGGAGGTAGACGAATATACCATGAAAAAGCTGCCCCTGTCAAAGGGTTAGGAAAAAGTCTCAATTTCAACCACGGGCTAACACTGGCCTCTCCACATTGAACCGTGAATCGGCCAATGTGTTCCACGGTCGATTGATTCCCCTCTCCACTAAAGGTTACAAAGTCAGGGACTTTATATCCTCTAGGGAACTCAACTTGGTCTACCACTTCTGGATAAGGAGTTCTATAAATTGGTCGGCCGGCACCTCTAAGTTCCAGGCCATATTCTTCTGTGAGTAAATCAGCTAATTGTCTTCTATCTAACATGACTTGAGGTGGCTGATGGTTGATAGCAATTCGGCCAATCATGTGGCTGATTAGCCATATTCTGCCCCCCGAGCCCTACCTGTGGCGGCACATGAGTATACAGTGGGTTCGGTGACCTCCACCTGATCTGATTGCCCCCCGAGTTCAAAGGCATCCGAGGAGGGTTTGGTGGAATTACCTGTGGCCTCGAACCTGCTACTGGTGGCTGATTAGAACCTGCCAACGTAGGCTGAGGATAGCTTTCTGCCCAGGTGAGTAGCGTATGAACCGGCTGACTTGATGTTGCACCTGGTTGGAGTGTCACTATTGGCGGCCATGGCTGTGATGTTTCAATGGCCCTCTCTGGCCGAGCAGCTTGTGATAGATTCGGCTGAGAAGCCGATTCCTGATTGTTGGAGCTAATAGCTTGAGTCGGCTTGTTCAAAATAAAGGCTGAGAGTTAGGACATATTTTTATGCAAGTCGTTGTAGCGTGCTCCCATTCTTCCCATTGCATCTACCAAGGAGCTAACCTGTGCTTGAAGTACAGCTAACTCATCAGTAGGACCTGCTGCAGAGTTCTCAGCCTGTACTGGCTGATCGCCTTCCTCCAAATCTTCATCAGTAGCCACGGCCTTAGAATTTTTTGTGGGCCGTGGCATATTTGCCTCTTTTATAACACTCTAGTAGTGGTCCCACCGGGCGTGCCAAAACGTGTTCGTGCGGTTTTTGTTCCCTACGCCGGTCGATGGACTCTTCGCGGGCGTGCCAGAGTATTTGTACAAAATACCCAAAATATGGCATATTAGTATAAGGTTAGTTATATCTTAAATGTCATATGAAGCAGTTTGTCATCATCTTTATTGATGATATTCTGATTTATTCCAAGTTGGAGGATGATCATGAAGCAAAAAGGATTCTAAAGCAGCCCAAGACCATTCCATCAAGGCCGACTCAAGAAGCCATCAGCCCAGCTTGTTCCCTACGCCGGTCGATGGACTCTTCGCGGGCGTGCCAGAGTATTTGTACAAAATACCCAAAATATGTAATTGAACACCAGCCTATCCCTTTTTTCGATGGCTGACTCTCAGGCGATTGTGTGAGAGAGAGACTAGTAAAAACTCCCAGCAAGGTTCTTTTATGCCTTGTTTGTAGCAAGGACTTTTTAGAGTGTCTAAAGAAATGCAACGGCTGGTGAATGTTTGAATGGATGGAATGGCCGAGTGAAGACAGGCGGCAAGAACTTAATCGATCGCCGGCCGAACGTGATGGCGAGAACTTAATCAATCGCCATCAGCCAAACACAATGGCAAGAATTTAATCGATCGCCACCAGCCAAACACAATGGCAAGAATTTAATTAATCGTCACTGAAACATGATAGCAAGAATTTAATCAATTGCCATCAGCCAAGTAATGACAAGAATTTAATCAATTGTCACTACGATTCAATGGCAAGAATTTAATCAATTGCCATTGAATTGAAAGCCTAACTAAAATTGCGTAATTAAAATTGGTATAATTGAAATTGAAAGAAAGTAAATGGCTGAATCGAAATAGTTGACGAGGATCTAATCAATTGCCATTAAATTGAAATAAAGAAATTGATTAGAAAATGACGTAGAGTCAATTGAAAACATTTTTAGTTGAAATGCATGTTTTGTGGTGGTGCTGGACCAGTTAGAAATGGAATACAATACTTCTATTTATAGAAGTTCTAAAACCAACTAATTTCTAATTATTTCTTGCTAAAATCTCTCTTGCTTCAATCATTTTCTTTTGAAATTCAAACTGAGCTACGGCCCAACATTCCTCGCCTTCAATATCGATGCTCCAGTTTCAATGGGAAAGTCTTTACTGAAATCTCTCTTTTCCTTGATTTGCTTTACTTTGTTGCTGAAAATAGGTCGTACTCCAGTAGTCTTTGACGTCTCTTCTCCTCTTGTTTCGTCTTGCTTCAAATAGAATACCTTTGTTGAAGAAAATATTGATTGCTAAGAAGTCGGTAGAAAGCTGCTGGAAGATTGCTAGTAAGTTGCTGATTTTTAGCAACTTCTTTCTTCAAGCTTGACTGAAATATTTCCCTTAAATGGCTGGAAGACCATTTATAGCCTTGACCCATACACTCACATGGCTGCCCCTTCCTTTTGAATTTCATTTCCATAAGGATTCAATTTCCTTTCTCATAACTAAATCCCTATTTTATAGGAACTTAATTATGTCACCTTAGCCAACTTCTCCCAATGTTCTATTTCTAATGAAATTTCCTTTTGAAATTAACACAAGTCTCGGTTGTTTAGTAACAACCCTTTTGGTGAGGTGGCTGAATATATAGATACCTTCCTAAATCTTCTCCTACTATTTCTCCATTGGCCGACCATTCTTGGACATGCTTAACACTTATCGGCTTCCCATTGGTCCACGTCGCTGCTGAAGTGGCTGCCAAGTTTTGGTGCCAACAGAAAGCGACAGATACAAGCACAGCAGCATCTATAGTGCGATCTATAGTACCTTTCGAGAAGAAAAAGGAAAAAAAAACATCTATAGTGTGAAGAAATCTAAAATTGAGCCCAAATCAGCATTGATTCCCTGGACTTTGCAGGGCTCTGATTGATTGATAGACCAACAGATATCTCCGCTGCATGTTCTTTCTTTGACAATTCGAAACACTACGAAGTAAACTTCAGAAGCCTCCTGAGGCTCCTCATCGTCTTGTTCAGTATACTTGAATTCTGGAAGCTCACGAAAAACTGAACAGAAGTTATCATTTCCTAAATAAAAGAAACCAGCCTGCAGAGCGAAAAAGCCTGACTTGGAGTCCCTGTTGAATAGGTCTGAGCCTGTCAATTTGAGTGAAGCAAAAGATACAGATGTATCTCCATGGTCGTCAGGGATATGATACGCAGAAAAGGTACTGACACCATCTTTCCTCGGTGCAAAGGCATATAAGGTATCATTGAGAACGAGGCCACATCCGGTTAGGGGATTATGCACCAAAGCAAGTGCCAAGGCATCATCAAAAGTCTGTGCCTGTATCTTTGCAATAATGGTTAGGCCATCGAAGAAGTTCCATTTCTGAGTTTTCAAATCAAAAGTAGAAACGATGCAACCCCAGTTAAAGAAGAAGATCTTGTCATGGATGACGGCATGCCCAGAACAATAAGTAGGAAGAATATGCTTTGGAGAAGAATATGAAGTGGGCAGAGGCAGTATGGTCCATTCATCCGTCACCGGATCATAGACTTCGAAAGCACAACTATCCCAGTCAGAACCAAAAAATTCAATCAAAGTCCAGTCAGTGACATTAAAATCAGGAGGGGAACCCAAAGTGCTGGTATTTAAATCCCCAGCAACGAGGCCAGTTAAGACGTATAATTTCCCATTCGCAGCCATAACAACCGGATTACACTTAACCCCCATTCATATTGGGGCATTCTGATAATTCATCACAATTGATGAGACTATTAGTAGTAGTAGAGGTCAGTTTATTTCTGAAGGTGCTGAAATCCAAGTAATAAACCTTCTTAGGCATAACCTGCACCCTCAAACTTGCACTGACCTCCAACAAAGTAAATTCGAGAACCCAATTCGGCGCAGGCCATCCCGATAGGCCATCTCTAGTATTGTCACAGCAGGAGAAGGTGGTGGTGGATTAGGATTATTAATAAAATTGCTTGCCGCAATAACGTAGGCATACAAAGAATAAAGAATTGGACCACCTTTGAATTTAAAAAACAAGCAAAGAAACTTTTTTCTCTCCTCTGACTCTGACTCTGACTCTGATACTGATAATGATCCTGACCACTCTGATGATAGTCCATCGACCGTCTCTGTCCCAACCTTCACCATTGTTCTTTCTATTAACAAATCCAGCACCTTCCGCTTCTTCTCCTCTCTGAATTCAGGTTCCAATTCCAATTCCAATTCCCAGAGTGATTCGGTTAATAAGTGATCGATAGTTCAACAGAAATATATATATATATATATATATATATATATATATATAAAGAAAGAAAAGTAACAACAGTATTAGTTATATAAAATTTACTCACAAGTAGAAGAAATTAGGGGCAAAAATCAGATTATCAAACCAAAACGAAACAATGAAATTAGGGTTTTTTTGTTGTTAGACAAACCTTTTCTCCGAATTGTTTCTCACGATTTGTCCCCCTCTATCAGCCCACCAAAAATTAGCTACTCCGGAAAATCACAGACGCGAGTGATCGACCGATTGATTGAGCGATACAGAAAGAAAATCGATGAATTCTACGACTTAGACACACACAATATAATATGTACTCAAGGCGACTCTGTAAGAGTCCCGTTCTTAGTGTGGATATATGGGCCGTTGGATGATATCCAACGGCTGATTAAATACATAAAAACACTTTAATATATACATGTTCAGCACAGTTAAAAGTGTCTTAAAATTGGATTTTTTTTTTTTTTTTTTTTTTTTTTTTTTTTCATTAGACACAACTCGATTCATTTTGACCCAGTAATTTGTAATTATTCTTTTAAAAAATAATGGGATTTGGGTTAAATAAATTAAGAGAGTTCGTGTGGTGCAAGCACATGTCTATTTACAGTCGCACCTTTAATTAGTTAAAAATTTAATTATAAAAATTTTAATTATTTGGATGGTTTCTCACTGTTCTCCCCCTCTTCTCTAGATTTATATTAAAAAAAAAAAAACTTATATAAATTGATTGTTTCTTTCGTTTTTCCTTTCCGTCAAGGTGAACATATAAACTTAAATATATGTAACAAAGAAAAAAAAAATGTTATTAGATATAAAAAAAGAAAAAATAATATAAAAGGGTAATTTGATCATAAAAGTTAACTTTTATATGATTGTGAATGGCCAATCGGGTAAATAGCCCTCCTTATAAATAAATTAAATTCAATTTAAGAAAACAAAAATAATAAACATCAAATTTTAAACTTCAAAATAGTGATTTATATGAATAAAAATAAAAAAATTATTATTTATCTATATAATAATTTATTATATTTTGATTTTTAAACGTATCTATGTCGAATTTGTTTCCTATTTTTTTGAAAATTTTCATTTCAATGTGTTCGTATTTTGTTGTACATGTATTTTGTATATGTACGCTTCCTATATATAAATAGGATAATTTGGCGAAATCGAAACAAAGAAAACTAACAACGCGGTTGACTTTCATTATCTACACCAGAGCTCAAAATTGACCAAATTTTAAAGTCACATTTTTAAATGGGTATTGTAGTGTGAGGCCGTGTCCATTTTTCATTTTTTTCACATTTTACATTTTTCCGCGTATTATATGTTCTATTCATGAGAATACGTGTCACGCAAATATAAGACTCTTAAAAAAGTATTTAGAGGATTTTTAGTCATTTTGAGTTTGTAGACCCGGAGGTCCCGAGATTTATTTCTCCAATATATTTTCATGTTGTGCAATTAAAGATTTTATGTGTGGGGTTCTATATATGTTAGTGAGGTGTGAGAAAGGGAATGTAAGAAGGGCATCTTTGAATTTTAGTGGGTTATAGGACCCATATCCCACTTACGTTTTAAGTAGGGATGTAAATAGGGTTGCAACTCAGATGAATTGGGCAGGCTTGGCACTCATTTTGGGTTAAACCCATACAAAAAATTTTCAATCCAAGTCCAGCCCGCCTTAAACCCAAGTTGAGTTGTCCAAACCCAGCCCATGCATAATTTGTCCAGCTCGAACCCGCACTAAGCCCACCTAAGAAGAATTTGTATGTAAAAAATAAATCAATTAATAATGTTATAACCATGACTTGAATATGAAACTTTAAGTATAAATATCAGGCATATTATCAACTTGGTTACTACACTCTTATTACTTAAATATAATTATAAAAATATATAATATTTTTAAGTTCGGGTTGAGTTTCGGGCTTCATCCATATCAACCCAAACTCAAAATATATAGCCCAAACTCAAACCGAATTTAGAAAAACATTGTCTAAGCTCAAAAAATTTCGGACTGGACTCGGGTTATTTCGGATTGGGCCGCCCGAGTTGCAACCCAAGCTGTAAATGAGTCGAGCGTCTTGGCAACTTCTGAATGATACTCAAGTTTGATTGATCTTTCAGCAGCCAAGTTTAAGATCGGCTCAAAGGTGTTTGAAAGAATTCGAAGTCGGCTCGGCTAAGCTGCCTTGTGTGTGTAGATGTATACCCAACTGTGTGTGTCTATATATACACATTTACCCGGAAAACTCAATCGATTAACAATTTATACACCATATTAGATTGATGTTTAAGAATTACAAACTTCAGACTTCAAAAATCATGTACCTGTATAAAAAGTATACAGATGAGATCGAGAGAGAGAACATGAAGTTACAATTGTGAAGGAATTTGATTTGCGATCATGACGGTTGGATCACCAACAATCATTTGTGATCGTGATGTTGTTGGATCATCCATTTCTTTGAGTCCTGTTATGTCGGCCAAGGTTTCGGTAACGAATGAGAAAAAAAAGGGCTTTCCTTTGTGTAAAGGAGTTAAGAAAAATAAAATAAAAATATTAATAAGGGTTTATTGATAGGGCGCAAATCCTCTGTTGTAAATTCCCATGCTGTCCCCTGCTGTAAGTTCTTATGTGGTTTTTGTTTGGTCACGTCATTCACCACTATTTGACAATTGAGACCATGTTTGACAATTACACCACCATTTATAAGTAACATTTCACCACCATTTATAAGTAACATCACAGGATCTAAAAAGTAACATCACAGGATCTAAAAAGTAACATCACAGGAGTTTAAAAGTAATATCACCATTTATGTACATACCTTAATTTAAGGATGAAAATACTTATAAATGGTGGTGTAACATTTCACCACCATTTATAAGTAACATCACATGATCTAAAATGTAACATCACAAGAGTCTAAAAGTAACGTCACCATTTATGTGCATACCTTAATTTAAGGGTGAAGATACTTATAAATGGTGGTGAAATGTTACTTATAAATGGTAGTAAATCAGTTATGTTTGTATGTGACATTACTTAGGAAATGGTGGCGATGTTACTTTTTAGACTATATGATATTACTTTTAGACTTTTGTGATGTTACTTATAAATGGTGGTGAAATGTTATGGTGCAATTGCCAAACACAGTCTTAGTGTCTATTAGGTGGAGTAAAACGTGGCTAAACCAAGGCCACTTACCGCTCACTATAGGAAATAGCATGGGAAACGCACAACAGATGATTTGCGCCCTTATTGATAATGGACTGGGCTCTTATATTGACTGGACTCTTATAAGATATAAGAACGAAATAATTAAGTTGGGTTATGAAATGGATTGAGCTTGGAATATTTTATGGATTATAAAGCCAGCTAAATCCATCTCTCTCTCTCTCTAATAGGGGTTGTTTGAGTTTGATTTGTTTATTAATTGAGTTTGAAAATTTTGTTTGAGCTTGGTTCATTTATTAAATAAACAAATACAAATTGAACTCTTAGCGAGCCAAGTTCGAGCTGTTTATCAAACGTTTGGTTCATATATAACTGTACATTTGAGCGCATATAGGTGAGTCGAGGTTGGTTTGGGGGCCTAGGTATACATATTTTTAACAAAAATGATTCAAACTTAAACAAATTTAAGATGAATTTTGTTATAAAAAAAAAAAAAAAATTAAGTATAAAAAATTCTTAACAAGCATAGTAACAAAAAAGTTCTTGAATTTTAAAACTATCATTAAAATGAAGGAAAAAGAAAAACTATAACTAATAAAAGAATATTATATTTATATATGAATCGTGCTACACTTGTCGATACACGCGATAACCGATCATGAGACATGGTTGTAGGCACCACTACAGCTATCACAGCACACATTCACGTCTCTCAGTCGGTTATCGTGCGTCGACAAATTTAGAGTTTTCCTTTATATATTCATTATTAATTAGGTAAGTTTCGGGATTTACGGGTTCTAACATTCTTCCCAAACCCCATGATTCCAAACCCACCCCAATAGGGGCGACGGGATAGGCCCAGTGGGAGGGTTAAATTGACATACCTATAAACTCGAGAGCTCGACCTCTATTTTCTCCTCTTTTTTTCTTCAATCTCTCTCATTATTTAACTACTAAGATTCATATTTTCTCTTCATTGTGAGAGATTGGAAAGCAATGCGACTCCAGTTCGGTCTAGCACGATCTTTGGCGCAAGAACAAGGTGTTGGTCCGTATCATCTTGACTTGATTTTGTTTCCTCTAATTTTTAAGAATCTCGATTCGAGTTCTTCACTTACTCATACCGAATAGAACATGACCTGACAAATGTTCTACATGTAAAATGTACTTGATTTAGATTTGAAAAATCGGGTGGTTTTATGAAACCAAGTGCTCTATTGCTCGAATCTGTAGTCAATTCTATTTCGGATAGGTGCAGTTGACAAAATAATAATAAATAAATAAATAAAATGTGGTTATTGGAAAGTGAGTGTTCATGTCATTGCATCTGTAGACCTGCAAATATGAAATAGATAGAAGTAAATAGAAACTATTACACAATTAAAGCTATAAAAAAAAAAACACTAAAAATGTTTGCTCTTTAGCACTCCACAGCGTAAATTCTCGGGTAGGAGCAAAATCGTGGCCAATTGGTGAACTCAAGTTTTGAATTTGTGAATTCATGAATTTGCCAAAAATGCCAAATGTAAATTCACGAATTCTTAGACAATGTACTAAACTCGGTAGAGAAGTGAAGTGCAAATATGTCTCCCTACCATATATCAAATATATAATTATTAAATATAATCATATAAATATAAAAATATAGCAGACTCTAAATAGTAAATATCACTTTCAGAGATAGAGAAGATACCACTAGGCCACAATGCCCTTAATACATAGAAACTCGTTTTCAACAACCAAAAGAAGAAACCCAGAAAAATAATAATAACAAGAGTAAACTAAATTTTCAGATAAATGGGTTTAACCCGCCTATTCCATACCACCAAAAATAAATAAATAAATAAAATAAATGTTGGTTCTTTAAAAGATACTACTAATATAAAGAACCAACTCCAATGTTCAGCCCAGTGGCACCCAACACTTTGATGTTGTTTGATAAAACTGAAAATTAAACACTGAAAATTTAAAATACTAAATTTTAAGTGCTGAAACTTTAAGCATTGAATATATTAATTTGAAAACCTATTTGATTACATTTTAATTTTAAGTGTTGAATTCATTAAGATTGTTTGCTATATACAAAAGCTAAAGTCTGAAAATTGTACATATTACATTTTTGCTCTCAATATCTGATACTCCTAACAATTTTATATTTACAATACAAAAAATATTAATAAAACAACCACATTCACTCAATGAAA